AGCAAGATGTAGTTCTTAGACCGCTGACTTAGTGCATTGCCAGCATCTAAGAGCGAGTTTTGCTACGCGCATGCGCACGCTCAAGCACACACTGATATGTGCTCATAAAACGAAAATTGGGTACGATGGATCAGTGAAATAGTTAACCAGGAATATATTTCACCTTGTAGTCAAAGTTGAGTTACAGAATTTGCTCGAACAAATACTTCCTTCGTGCTTACGTTTTATGTTGAAAAAGTGAATTACGTTTCAGTAAGAAAGTGAAAGGTATAGTGGTTAATAAAGCACAACATGTTCCGTGCATAGGCAGAGAAAATGCTGTGCCAAATTATGATAATGAATTTAAGACACAAGCAGCTACGAAATGCAGTTGCAGAAAAAATATTAAGCATCCTGTTTCTCGACTACGACAAAAAATCATGAGCCTCATGTAAATTGTTGCTTTGTTCTCTTATGTTTTACGTATGTCACTTACTTTTCAGCAAACAGAAGAGCGAGAACCATACTGACATGAAACTTCGACGAACAGTGATGGGTGTGAGCCTCGCTACTGCGCCGCTGCAGGGCTAGAAAGGTCATACGTCATGCCTGACATTAACCCATGATTGACAGCAGCAGCGATGCTTCCGTGTTTGTTGCCTTTCTGATGTGGAAGGGAGCCGGCGTATGCTGTTATACATTGCCGACCGTGCGATCCAGCCGAGCTCAACATAAGGCCAGAAAACAGTTATTAACAGCACCTGCCTTACCTTTCGTGGGGATACCAGGGCCGGCTCGCCCACTAACAACATCGGTATAGATAAGCAATTAAGTTTATGGATTCGAAGACCTCCTATATGGCAATTTCTCACTGTAAATCTTAACTTTAACATGCGTATATGAGACCAGATAAAACATTGCCAAAACAAAAACAAAAGTTTGGCATTATGGAAAGATGCTTTGCAAAACAACAACCAAAAGCCTAGTCTTTCGTGATTAAACTTTGCATTCAAGCGCAATTACAACTTTTAATTTTACATTATCTGTCCGGTGCGACACACAACTCTACGTGGCGGTAGTTCATCGAACAGCCCGTGAAGAACCGCACATCTCCCGTCATCGGGTTATTTCCTAGATCTTACGTGAAAGATTTCAAGGGCTTCCGACATACAGTCCTCGTTAAGTTCGGGCACAAAAGATCTACATCATTTGCACTCCCGACATACTCCCCACTCCAATACATTGACCGAACGTATTCATTAGGTCCTTTCGGCGTGACCATAAACGAAACATCCTTAACCGCAAGTCCTTAACACGCGCCCGGGTGGCCGGTTGGATATCCTTCGCTCGGGTGGGGGTTGACTTGACCCCCCTGAGATCTCTGGAACTAACAGAGCTAGAGACACCAAATTCACAGCGTGTATTGACCTGTACATGAACTCACTTAGGTCAGAGTTTGAGGTTCCTAGGTCACGACTTTTGGGTCAAATAACACCAAACAAGGTCAAATTCCAGGTTGGTCTCCAAAGGACCACTAAAACCTAGACACCTCTTCTAAGCAAAAGGCACATGTCCATTTAACACGCGCTCGGGTGGGGGGTCAAATTGACCCCACCCCGAAGGTTTTTCCAGAACTGTTTCCGAACGGCGCGGCACAGCCGGGCCAAATTTTCTATAGCTGTAGACAATTGGATAGCGGATCGTGTGGCATCAAAAATGTATATGTACCTTTTAAGGTCGCTGACCTATGGCAGGTCAAAATCAGGCCATGGTTTCGGCGTAGTCATCGTTCAATCTGATGCAACAGTGGAGTGTTAGACGAAACCATACACCTCTAAGATGCTTTCTTAGGCAGCAAAAATATTGAATAAATAAAACACGTAATTGATAAAACAGATTGGTTTCGACCTTGGTCTGACCTTTATACTTTAACTGAGGTCAATGTAATTTGTTAATGCAATTGTTCTGTTCCTATGAAAATATATCAGAGATGTATAGATTCTTCTAGCACTCTATTGTTGGATTAGATCGAACGATTCCTTAAACATTGTCTCGCTGAAACCATGGCCCAACTTACACCTAGCATACGTCAGGCACCTTACAAGGTACATCCAAGATTTTGATGTCAGACAATCCGCTATTCAAGTGTCTACAGTGATGCAAAATTTGGTGCGGCTACACCGCGCTGTTCGGAAATCATCCCGGAAAAATCTTTGGGGGTTAAGTTGGGGGGGGGGCTAAGCTGCAAACGATTGGCAAGGTGCTTAGACACACGTGATAAAAAATCTAACAAGTTCAGTCACGAAGTCCTGCCGAAGTCAGCATCCGCAACGCCGGATAGACATACCGGACGGCCACCTCTCGATTGGCTCAACGTCGACCCGGCGGCTAGGTCGGCACCATCACGCTGCGTCGACCGTCCACCTGACGTCAAGGCACGACATGTCCGTGTTGGCAGGATGACACTGCGCCCAGGCCAACTTGGACCATTGCTGACACAGGGTGCCACGTAAGGCACTGCGGGCCTAGCGTGGGACTGCTTCCTGTTTCAGGACGAGAACAATGTAACAGGCTCAGCGCCTAACAGGGGGTGCTGCGTCGACACGTCACCCCGAGTCGGCCCGGGCGACATTTGTTGAACAGAGACCGTGACAGGACTCGGAATGCCAGCGGGCCTTTTGCGTTGGTCGGGGAAACCACAACAAAACGTGCCTTCTGCTTCCACTAAGCCTCATTTTTGTCAGCTCTGTGGGTGTGGATGTTCTTAAGTTTCACTCAGTCACATGTCGGCGCTCTGGAAGGTTCGTTTTACACCCCGTGATTTGTGAGCACTATAACAGCTTTATTCAAACTTGCACATACCTTTGCTTGAACATTTGGTCTGAATCTGTATGAGTTCAGGTATAAAATAATAGATGAGGCCGGGTGAGTCTACATTGGAAGGGACATTGCTTCGCCTCTGCATTGCTACATCTACACCTACATTGCTTCGCCTCTGCTGCATGTGCTGGGTATTTAAGAAATATGAGGATGGAAAGCTAACCACTGTTCGAGTCACTAATAGCCAAGCAGTCCGCGCTATGCCTTTCACCGTTGGGGCTTTTGTCATCCTCAGGCCTGATTTGTCACCGGGAAACGAGCAAGCCCGCCGGACTTTCGGCGGATGAAGACGCATGTCCAGCACCGAACCAACCGTCTGAACTGGCGTCGGGGATCGCTCGCTTACCGCGCCAGGTGTGCCAGCTCCTGCGGACTAATTGGGACCTGCAGCATGTCCAGGCCGAGGACATCTTCAAGCCAGTAGGCAACCCAGCCACTCAACTTAGCAACTAAACCAGCCCCGACTGGCCAATGGTCGATGGATGGACTGGATGTTGCCAAAACTGTCGCACTACACTTCATCAGCCGGAAAACCTATGCATTTGTACGGCATGTCATGGGCGCCTCCTGCCTTCAAACCTCATCCTAGCAAGGTGGATTCGTGGCTTCCCAGTTTCAGCTCGATTTCGGCGTCATTTCGGCACTCCGGGTGCTGGAGCCGGCGGTGGACGCCATGGACCCGCTGGAATACATATGATCCCGCCTGTGCGTCAACGAGATGACATCGCGCGGTCGACAGTCATATCACTGAAGCCTGTTGTCAAACGGGGAAGATCGTTGTTAATTCATTCGCTGCACTCAATATGAATGGCCAAAAGCTTGTGAGCGTGGCTTGTGATGCACCCTTGGACTGGGTTCGCCTTTAGAATCAAGCAAGTCTTATTCAGTATTTTCTGGTCAAAGGTGGAGCAAACCAGCGGTACCTTTTGCATCAGGAAACTAGCAGCCGTCAGGGCCCAGCTCTATTAATTACTGGGTCCCAGCGTGCATTGACTTGACTGTGCATTGACTTGACTGTTTATAACAGCAGAAGTTCACCATTTTTTACCTACTCTTTCCTTTCAGCTTTTGACGCGTCTGTTTAAATCGCGCACAAGTTCTGTTTTTATATTTAGTTGCATTGTGACAGCAAACTCGACAATTGTCCCTAACCTCTCGTCCACAAATGAAAACCATGTCATTCTAAATACAACTGTTGTTTTGCGCCTGGAACCACCTCCGGTAAACAATGAATGAGCTCTCCTTATTGTATTAAAAGAACTTGAAATACTATAGCGTCCCTCTCTGCACCCCTTTCCAAGTGTTTAGAAAATACAAAGATTCACATCACCTTAAAATGGGAATATATTCCCTCGCATGAAAGTAATCGTTTAACTGAAGACACACGCTTTAAAAATGTTGCTGTCTTTAATCCGACTTTTTATCAACGTAAATCGGAGGAGAAAGGATTTGTTTTGTGGCGGAATCAGTCAACACCATCAATCTAGTCCTCCCCGGAACGCTTTTCAACATTTGCATCCCTCGCCAACCCTAATTTTTAACATAATTAGTCCCCGAACGCTTTCAACACGCCGCACAAAAAGTTTCGACTCTTCCTGGTTCACAGCATGTGCATTTTTGTACAGAGTCAACCATCTGTTCCCTGAAGAAGCTTTCACCAACAACATGTCCTGTGCTCAATTCATCCCCAACCGATAACGCTGAGCTCATTACCCTCCGCTACCTATTCATGATCAGTTATACCCGCCAGTTAAAAATACTTTGGGATTTTTATCGTTTGAGCTCTATTTTATGGAAGAGGATCAAACAAGTCGTACTAAAATGTATTCCTGTCTGCTGATGATTGCAAAAGCGTGGTAAGTGGAGGTGATTATGGAAACAAGGGGAAGCAGTGGCACTGTGCAGTATTTCTTGAAGTACATACCAAATATGTCATAAGGATCTTGCCCAAAACCGGTACCAACGCACGTCATTTGCCAAAAATATATATACCCAACCCAGTCATTCGAAACATTTCACGCGGAAACCCATTGGCTTACCCAATCTGTGAATGCCTGCCTGGTTTGGACAGCACGATGGCACTCAAGCCGTCTTTGATGCTGACAGGATTGCCCTCATGCGAGGGCAAGAAAAGGCAAGGAGTTGCCTCGCGTATGCATTTCTGTCCGGGTCCGCTACTTGCGCCGACACACAGGACTGCTGTTGCACGTGCAGCCCGTCTGACAACACCGCTCACTCTTTGGATAGCTGGCGTCACTCTGGCAAATTGCCCTGCGCCCCCACTAGACAGATGGAGGCGGCCGAGTTGACGAACGGGCACTAACCAGCTCTGGGCTTCACGATGGGGACCGAACGGGCATCATCACACCTGGATAACGGCTGAGGACAGGGGGATCAGGCGGTTGAGAACAGTGCGCTCGCACTTTTGGCCGGGTCTGCACTTGCGCAGTAACACCTGAATGCACTCGTTAACGCAGCCGGCCCAGCAGCACTTCTGGCCCTTCGGACAGCTGGTGTCGTTTAAGCACGTGCTTTTTGCGTCTTCTGGGCGATAAAATTTGATGCCTTCGACGGACGGTCATTTCCCTGGCTTCGGGCATGGCAGGCACAACTGAGTACAGGCCACCTTGCTGGATCTGCAGCACAGCCGGCAGAAGCGGGCTGCAAAGGAAGGCGACGCTTTACGGGATGTACTCAGGACATTGCAGCAGGTCAACTGGCCGTGGCATTTTCGGCCGAAGGTCAAACAAAAGGTCATGCAGAACACATCACATCAGGCGCTTTAGTCATGGGATCGCCGACCATAGATCAAGCGAAAGGGGACCTAAGAAAAGAGTGTATTTTAAAACATTGTAAGAATTACATGAACAAGCCACATAGCATGTCAACACCCTATTAAACATAACAGAAATCGGTCAGTTCATGGAATCAGAGCCAAAATGGTTGCGTTTTGGACTCAATTCTTACACTTTTCAACGGTATCGGAGCGGACCCAATTTTGAAATTGGTGACATCTAACCTTCCTACGTAGAACAGGAAACGCCATGAAACAGGATTAGATGCGACATCTGTTTTCCTAGAACCTTACTTTCATCACCAGCAACAAAAAACACAGTGAAACATGTTTTGAACATTTTTGCATGGCTTCTACAAAAACTGACCTTTTTATGTAAATGGGCAGAAATTTTTGCAGGTTTTTTGGAGCAGGTCGAGTTGTTAATGAGCAAAGTCAAGGAAGGGAAGGATTGAGGGCACGTAGCTGGCTCTCTTGTCAAATTTTAAATGCATTTATATGTGAATGAATTTATAAAATTGCATGCCTATGAAAGTATGATAATCATTACCAGGCAGCCTGCTAGAGGTTCCATTCAACGCCCCAAAGGGGTTTCCGGAATAATTTCCGAACGGTGCAACGTAGCAGACTTTGCATAGCTGGAGGCAGTTGTATTGCAAGTGTTTTGGTAAAAAATTGAAATGGTCCTTATCAGCTTACAGACCAATGACAGGTCAAACTAACGCAGCGGCTTTCAGCGAAGGCAATTCCTCAATCTTGGAGGGGATTCAGCGCATCCACTGGGGCGGTCATAAAAGTCAGAGTCGGGAGCCTCCATTTCCTCTGCCAACCAGCCAACCATGGTGTCCACATTAGAAAGGTGTAAATTCTCTCTCTCTCTCTCTCTCTCTCTCTCTCTCTCTCTCTCTCTCTCTCTCTCCTCTCTCTCTCTCTCTCTCTCTCTCCTCTCTCTCTCTCTCTCTCTCTCTCTCTCTCTCTCTCTCTCTCTCTCTCTCTCTCTCTCTCTCTCTCTCTCTCTCTCTCTCTCTCTCTCTCTCTCTCTTCTCTCTCTCTCTCTCTCTCTCTCTCTCTCTCTCTCTCTCTCTCTCTCTCTCTCTCTCTCTCTCCTCTCTCTCTCTCCTCTCTCTCTCTCTCTCTCCTCTCTCTCTCTCTCTCTTCTCTCTCTCTCTCTCTCCTCTCTCTCTCTCTCTCTCTCTCTCTCTCTCTCTCTCTCTCTTCTCTCTCTCTCTCTCCTCTCTCTCTCTCTCTCTCTCTCTCTCTCTCTCTCTCTCTCTCTCTCTCTCTCTCTCTCTCTCTCTTCTCTCTCTCTCTCTCTCTCTCTCTCTCTCTCTCTCTCTCTCTCTCTCTCTCTCTCTCTCTCTCTCTCTCTCTCTCTCTCTCTCTCTCTCTCTCTCTCTCTCTCTCTCTCTCTCTCTCTCTCTCTCTCTCTCTCTCTCTCTCTTGCCCTCGCCCCTGCCCTCGCCCTCCGCCCATGGAAAATGCTGCGCATCTTGGCAGGCATGTAGTGCAGAAACTAGAGGGGTATAGGTTTTAAGAATGGCAAAGCTGCAAACTGCACCAGATGGTCTTTGATAAGGTTACTTCGGCCCAAAATCCCACACAAATGTTAAGCACCCATTTCATTTCTTGGGCTATTTGATACGGAAAACCTGCTATTTACTCCGACATCAGCTGAGTGGGTTGAATCAACAATATACTCGGAGAAAAAAACGACCTTTTATACCTTTTAAACGTCCACCAATTCACATGCCGCGCTTACCTTTGCCATCCTGCTGGGCCAGCGCTGTGGCTAGCAGTATCGCAAGAAGCGCGGCGACTATCAGCGCGCGTAGCATGTTTGCAGTTGAGCAGCATTTGCGCGGCGCCCGCTGTTTATGAGGCGGACCGGGGGGGGGGACAGGCGCAGTCGGCTAGCCCGGATGGACACGTCATAGCGGGCTGGCGTGTGACAGGCGTCATTGCCCGGCCTGGCTGGCGCCCCTGCATCCTGGCTGGGCTGACAGGTCCGATTGGCGGCGTCCACGGCGAGCTCGCCACCCCGAGTGACCGATAACATCCATGCGAGGTGAGGTCCACTGGTGGCATGCACAGGCGCCTGAGGCTGCTACCTCGGCCGGCCGGCTGGCTCTTGCTAAGCTCCACCTAATCCACGGTGCTCTTAGATTCACGGCTCAGCGTAAAAACGTCCCACAGATACCTATCGAAGGTTCGCTTTAGCCTAGGTTCTAGATATTCAGATATTCGTTCCTAGGAGGTACAGAGTGCTACAGAAAGACACTTTTTTAAACGTAAAAGATGACTCAGAAGATAACGACGCAGTGCGATAACCAAGTCCAGCATGCCATGCAGGCGTGTTATCTGAGAGACTACGACTGCAAGCCACACGTGGCAAAATGTACAAGGCAGGTTTCAGCAGGCTCATTTTCCTATTCAGCGTCCCGCCTAGCGTCTCCTATTGACGTGGGGCAGATAATCCGCTTTATTCGTAAACCTTGACTTCATTGTCGCCAAGGCGAATCATTACGGCCGGGTAAGTACGCCAAGTGCCTTTAAATATAAATCAATTCGGCCGTTCATCCCACTTTTACCAAACCAAAAGATTTAAGTCACCAGAAGGACCACTTTTCAATAATCTGCAGCATAATGGTGTCACGTATATCCATAATCTTTTCTGACGAGGTCTCTGCAGTTGAATTGAAGCAGGCCGACAGTGGTGGCTACACTGCCAGAGTCGCATGCGCCGTAGAGGCATGTTATCACTGGAGCCATCTTCTTGAGTGTACAGCGGGAATGTTCGGCGAGAGCAGCGGAGGAAAACCGATGCGCGTGAGGTATAATAAGAAAAAAACGCTTTTGCTCCGCACGATTTACAGGCCCAGAAGTGGCTTTGGGATAGAAGAGATGGAGAGAGAGGGGGAAAGTGAGGGAGAGAGAGAGAAAAAAAAACATGATGAAGCTCCTTGCCTTTTATTATCTTAGGACACGAAATACCGGCGAAATATGAAACCTCATTGTGCATAATCTGGTAATCGGTGGTCAACATGTGCCGAGGAGTTTTCATAGTAGCATTTTTTAACTAAACTTGATTGTTCTGACGAACTCGTCGAAACGACTTTTTTAGTGGACCGCGCAAAACATTTGCGTTTGAATCTTTCACGTAGGAGCTTTAGAGCACGCATTTCCATCACGCAAAACTTGTGCCTTACGGACGTTTCGTTACCCACGTGTACGTGCCTACTTTTGCGTAAGTACAGTTTGCATACCTACATTGGTTGCGCACTGTATTCCTTGGCCCCGGGAGCTAGTGTGTGATGAAGCCGCAGCGTGTCGCTGCTGTCGCGTCACCGGGAGCAGTTGGCGCTACCGTCGGTCTGATGACGCGAAGCGCGGTGGGAGCCGTGACCCAGGCGAGGGGGGAGCAGGAGGACACGTGCCTTCCCTTCCCCTTAGGGCCCGAGGGTTCAAGGGCTCCTCGAGACTGACAGTCAAGGACCTTGTTTGCGTGCCCGCAGGGCCCGAAGACTTGGCGGAGATAGTAGATAAGTGCCCGGTTCACAGGGCGGGACGCTCAAATGTCTGTCAGGGGGCCAGGGGGCCTGTGAGCTGATTGAGGGCTCCTGGTTTTGTGAGGAGCCCCCTGCATTGGTCAGTGATCTAGAGTGTCTAGTGGACGTCCGATGTTGGCATGGGGCCTTGAGTCGGCCGAAAGCAGTGTTTGATTGTCCAGAAGAGTGGACGGCAGGGGCTCCGAATTCCCTTCGGAATCTACGGCCAGGGTCCGATTGGGGTCCAAAGGACTTACCTGTGGTCGCATTTAGACGTCCGCTCCCTGCGATTCCGGGCCTAAAATGCCAGTGAAAGGAAGCTTTGTTCCGATCGGGGAACCCTGAGCCGATGTGAGCGTCCATGTCGGTCAGGGACTACCAGTACTGAGCAGTCGGCTCTGCGTCAGTCTGAGCCCGCGGGACCATGTCCCAAAGAAGATGATTTTCAATGCGGCCACCTGAGTCGATGAGGGTCTTTTTGTAGGTCAGGCACTACTAGTACCGAACAGTCGGTTCTGTGTCGGTCTTAGTTTGATAGTCCGGGCGTCAGGTTTTTGTTGCTGAGAATAGCGAGCGTGCATGCTCACAACTAACTTCTATAATTTTCACGAATAATCTCTAAAGAAAGGGTGAACATGCCCAGATGTACATGGACTTGTCACGTCAGTACAGAATTTCCTCACATTTTCATAAAAAAATATAAGTTCACTCTGTCCCCAATATACCTGTGGAAACCGCACAAAAATCTAGGAAAAAACGTCTGAGTGCTGTCGTGTAAAAATGAAGTTAACTGAATTATTACAAAATAATTGTGCCCGAGGTTTACTCCACGCAAGGACTTAACGACTAATTCATTCAAGTTATTGACTTCAAGATACAAACAAAAATTGCATATTGCGGTGATTTTCGTTTGTCTCAGTCAAAGCACGCAAATATAATGTTACAACGAAGCCAATCCTGGTCGATTGTAAAGGGAGGGATATCAGGTGATTTTATTTGAAGGAGAGCGGTTTCAGCACTAGAGGCCCTTTGTTACCCGTTCGCCCTAGCCAATACTCTGATTGTGGCCTTGGGTGGGAGGGCCGACCGGGCTGACCTGTTGTGACCCCATGCTACTTGGTCCGATCGACTGTACTAGGGGCCTGCTCCAGATGCACCAAGCCCCGCTGTACACATTACGTGATACTCCGTCGATGCTCCCAGTACGGGACCATCTGTGCCATGGTAGAGCAGCCTTGATCCGCACATGCACAGAAGCGTTGGTAGCCCATTCGCCACTCAATCACAATGAAGATAGTTTGAGAACCAGGGAATTATTTCCGGATTACGCACAGTAAGCCATGAATTCGCCGTAAGCTGTGCCGAACCGAGGCATATAGATGTTAATGAACTGAATGATTATCACCTACACCTATATTATAATATTCGTCTCGTGTTTTCAGAGAATGAGCAGCAGCATAGGTAGAAACGGTTGAGTTCATTTTCTTATAAACCAAAAGCATTGGATATCCATCTGCGGCCATGCTGCTTGATCTAAATCCAGCTTTAACAATTCGCTCCGCCAGTTATTTGGTATATTTGTTTTCTATTCCATCTTAATGAATCAAAACAAATTCTGGCAGGACTGGGACTTGAAGTTTTTAAAGTAAATGTTCTCTAGAAAGGTAATACATTACGTCCTACAGGTTCCCCTATGCGAAGATTCTGTGTTACCCAAAGACAGAGAGCTCAAACCATCCTTCTGCAAGCATGGCTTTCTTATGTTGTCCTGGTGCAATGGATGGTTACGTTTTTCGAAAATAAGTGATGTAGTTTGTTCAAATGGGCCGCGATTGGCATAATTTTTAGTGATAAACCATGTGTGTGTCAAGCCATATATCTGCCTCCTGTAACGTCCTTCACGGATAACATTTGATTGACCTAATCCACCTGCTACCTATCCGCTACCCAGTCCTAATCAAATATACCCACACATAACAAATCTGTTGGAACTTTTTAACGTTTGAGATCTACATTAGGGATGAGGCTCAGGAAAATCTACGCCAAAATTGGCTCAATTGTGTTGACATTGCGAAAGTACAACTGGAGGCAATTGTGAGCATCAGGGGCAAGCAGTAACAGCGCATTGTATTTCTGGAAGGATCTGACACGTTATCCATTTTACGTGAGAACCCACAGGTTTATAAAATTCATGAATTCCTTTGATTCCCTCTTTACCGTGCAATATTTGTGCAACGGTCTGGCCTTGTCATGGGCAGTAAAAAAGTGTTATAGTAATGGGAACCAACAATGCGAAGAAGCATTCGTTGTATATATATATATATATATATATATATATATATATATATGCGACGATATATGAAATATCATATATACATACATATATATATATATATATATATATATATATATATATATATATATATATATATAATATTATCTGTGTATGCGTATGTACGTGCGTGCGTACGTACGTACGTACGTGCGTGCGTGCGTGCGTGCGTGCGTATGTGTTCCATACGCTTCGTAATGCCTACGGAGTGCTCAGACTCGCAAATCATATGTTCTAAGATGTATAAGCTTATGGAACGGTTTTCTTATGCATCCAGCCCAGCCCCTAAGATGATGGCTTCCCCCAAGCTTTTTCCCGAACACTGTCCGCTAGCTCCCCGTTTATTTGCATGCTGTACCTGCGTGTGTAGTACAACACTCCTCTGCTGGGGAGCGGGTTGCCCAGTCCGCTGGAGCGTTTTCTGACTGCACGATTAACCCTTGTGAACCTTGATACAGGCGGGCTGACCATCGCGTTCGACTCGGCAGATGGAGCCAGGGTAGCATGAGTAGCCCTCGCATGACGGTCCTGTGGCGGGCACGCAGCGGGGTCCGGACGGCCTGTTTACGTACCGCTGACCCGGCCTACACTTCAGGTGATCGCACGTGCGCCTGCTGCACACAGCGAGCGGCGGGCACGGCGCCCTGACGCACAGCACCTTCTTCAGGGTGCACACGGAACCCCACGGGCACCTTCTGCGGCAGACGGGCAGACAGACGCGACAGCAGCCGCGCGGGCAGCAGCGCTGGCTGGGACCGCACTTGGCGCCGGAACTGCAGGTGTCCTTACCACGCAGATGCTGCCGATGTTGCTGCGCGGACAGGAACCGACCGGGGCAGGCGGTGACCTCACGACCGGCCGACACGAGGCGACATGTGGCGGCGGAGGTGGACAATTGGAACCCAGGCATGTGGCTCTGCTTGACAGGACACACTGCTGACCTCTCGGGCAGGCGGAGGGGCAGGCCGGCACGCAGTTGAGCGAACAGCCGTAGGTGCAGCA